ACTGTCGATAAATGCACGTTTATAAATTACACAATCAAGCCGTGATCGAATCCATTCACCTTGACCGTATGCTACTTCTGATGGCAAAGGACAGTCACGTAGAAATTCCCGATACTTTCTTCGTCGTTTGACTGTTTGCCTAGTCATTGATGTCTACGCCTCGAAGAGTGATGATCGCCGAAATAATTTGACAACCATCTCAAAATGGCTATATGTATAAATAGTAAATATTGTTTCGTCTAAGTTCTATCCGTGTTCCTTTTTTACGGTTCCAAGATATTCGAACATCCAATATTTGCACTCTTATCAACTCTCCCCCAGCAGACATACGCCGGGTCTCCCGTGACCCAAGTTACCGTACATCACCATGTATTTTTAGCACATATTCAGAAAATCATTTTATGTGGCAATTGCCCAGAACTTTCAGTACTGTTGACCGAACATTGTTTTATTAAATTCAAATTTTTCTGAAACATGACATTGACTTTATGGAAAAAGAATTAGTATTAACAAACTAACGTTTAACATCTGTTTTCCCACGTTTCTTAATTTTTAATATTTGTAATATTGTGATAGTAATGTAAATCATAGAATGATTACTTGCAAATTCTGCATCCTTTGTTTCGTTCGTTATTTTGATATGTTTTTACATGTTTCATATATACATCAGTGCTTTTCATTGAATATATTTGTAACGTACATACATACCTGCACAGAGTACACTGCGGATTTTATTCATTTATGGCAAAAATGGGTAATTGAAATTTCAAACGATGAAAATGTTAAAAGAACTTAAGGACATCTGTATATTATTTGCAACTCGTTGAAATTGTTAAAGAAATATAGAAATTTCTGTCTGACTCTTTTCTGTTGCAATTATCAAAGACCATTTTTATTTTGCATATGAGTTTATTATTCTTCATTGACTGTACATTTGATGCATTTATGACAAAATTGAGTAAATCAAATGCAAAACAGTGAAACAATATAAAAAATTTAGAATTAGCGTTGTAGTCTTCCAAAATTCATTAAGATAATACAGACAATTTTGCATAAAAATTTCTTACCTACTTATAATTAATAGTAGTAAGAATTATCTTCAACCTTTAACTAGTGTGCAGGGACCATGAGTGACACCAGCATTGTGATTCTATTTTACATTATAGTGAAAGTTTAATTTTCCATGTTTTTATTATTATTAATTCATCTTTTAGCACTCTGTGTTTGGGATTTGTCATTGCTAGTTACTTTTGCAATTGCCACTGATCATTTATATAAAATTAGATGAATACATCTACACTTTTTTATTTGAGATCTATCGTGATAGACTAATAAACTTAATACACTAGTCCTTTTTGTGAAAATCATAACCTGAACAATTTTACGAAATTAATCAAATTTAAATTGCAAAATTAAGTGGTATGACATTATTTACTTTTTTCACATTCGTTGATCCTTATGAAATTGGAAACGTATAATAGGTTAGCTTAAAAATTAATTTTCAAACCTGTGTCACGTGGCAGTTAAAGCATCAAGGGTTAACTATAGCTTCAGATGTTACAAAGCTTTTGTTTAATCCTATTTCATCCTTTATTTTCAAGAACAGTCTACATTATCGCTGCGTAAATGGCAATCCTCACCCAACAAGAACGGTACTAAAAGCTATTGCGTAATTAAACGTTAGTCTTGCTGTAGAATTCTTTTTTTTTCGTTGCAGTTAGTAGCTGTAAGGAAGCGCAGATGTACATTTTAGCGTATAGTCGTAAATGCTCTTACAAATGAGAATGGTGGAACAAGTTGAGTGGTCTTTGTTGTACGGAGAAAGTATCAGTAGAATGCTGGCTATGTTGAGTATTTTAGCGCCAATTGATTACTTAATTTTCGGCTGCTTAAATCTGGGATACATTGCAACACAT